GACGGCAGAGTATGAGGAGTAGAATGTAACTTAAAAATGGTTAAAAATTGAGATTGTCATTTCTATTTATAATTACCATCAGACTTTATGTTGTTAGACCACCAACTGCAAGCTTGGGTGCTACCAACCGCCCAGGGACCAGGTCCTGGTGAAGTAACATGAATTTCTTGCTTTGAATCCCTTTCTGCAGGGAAAGCAAAGACGCTTGAGATAACCGCAAGTGAAATGAATAAAACTTTTAAAACTGATTTCATGTTTATTTATTTTTGATGGTTTTTTTTTAGAAGACTGTATCCGTTCTTTAAGTTATTTTTTTACTTTTTTTTTTACTTTCTTACTTTGAATACCTTGTTTTGTTGATGTGAAGAGAGAAATTAGAGGTGTTTATATAGTTTTCGCGTTTCTTAAAAATGGAAGGGTGAATAGTTTCTGACCATTTGTTTTTTTTTCAAATCTCGATCTTGAAATTAGCCAAGCCTTGTAAGCTTGATTGAGGCTTTTCGAATAGAAGTTAAATTACCATTATACATTATATTTGTCGCCGTATCGTGTGGTGCTAAGTCAACTTAATAGCGCCATTAATTTTTTTCATATATTATTTGGACAGCAAGAACACTATTTTTTTTGACGTGATCGTTGTCACATATAAACTAACGAGGCTTGGTTTAAGATCGAGGTGATTCTGCGGGCTTTGACCGAGGTATTGCTTAGGTGGCTTGTAATATTTTTTACGATTCATGCATGCACTATAACGATAAATTATTGTTATTATTTTTTTTCGTGGCTTTAAACAGCCAAGCTAAAATTAGATGCTTTCAATTTTTGGGTATGGAAGTAGATAAAATAAGTAAATTAATTAATTAATTTATGTAAACATTCGTTTCGAAAAAGCCAAGACTTGTATTATGTAATATAATTTATTACTATAAGGCGGCCTCTTTAAAGATTTTGGGACTTTCTAATCTCTAAGAAATTACGTAATTTTTATTACTGTCCTAATGTTAACATACTTTCTTTGAACTTATTCATAAGTAGCAATTCTGTTTATCGTTAAATAAGATGAATTGGTAGTCATATGTGAAAATTATAAGTTACATTTAATAGAATAAACCTTTTAATAAAAATTTAATTTATTTTAGAAAGTTATTCACCAATAAGAAATGTCACAGCCGAAAGATTTACAATCAGATTCTTTAACGTTAAGAGTAAGTTATTATTTAAAATTTTTTTGGTAATTATTTTCGACGGCTTATATTCAAAGAAATAGAAACTTATATTTACTAAGCCGACATTTCGATGTAATTGTTGAAGCCACGCTATGTGTCGATTGATGAAGTAAGCATATAACGATAATAATTGATATTCATGCCGATCCACGCAGATACAAATGTTAATAGTATTTTCGGTTGATGACTTATTTGGAATAATAAGAAGTGGATGGTTTCTCTTGACGGGACGTCAGATAACGATAGACGTTTTCAAGATTACCTATAATCGATGCAATTCCACTTCTTGTTTAATCAACGATCTTCACGAAAAAAATAGATTTAAGAACAAAAGCCACTTTTTTTAAAACGGATTCGGCAATAGCGGTAATGATATGAATTTATGAATCGCGTTAAATTACCCCAACTTTTTAATTTGCATATACGGTAATAGTGTTGATTTGGAAAACGTAATACGTACTGATTTGAACCAATTAACGTTAAGTTATAATCGATTGATCGAATTAAACCTAAATCGGTTAACCGGTTAAGAAAAACGTTCATCGTTTAGCCGTTCTAATAACGATAAATTCTGGGACAAATCTTTTCGGCTTTCGCCCTATGAATAACCTAACTTTCTGAAAATTACATCGTTATCTCCGGACTTGAAGGTTCGAAGATAGCGATGTAATTTTCAGAAAGTTTAGGTGACTTGCGGGAAGATCTCAGGTAACGTGCAAATTTTTAATTGAGCAAGAATTTGAAACAGCTGTAATCGGATAACCGTATAATCGGACAACCCGGCATAATAGGGTAACCCGTTATAAGCGGTTGACTCGACATAATTGGTTAACCTGGCGAAATTGGGTAACCCAACATACCTGATTTGTTAACTCAGCATAACGATAATCAGTTGATAACTAGTTATCACGAACCAAGCATCGCCCAAAAAACCGTTGATAACTGGTTATCACGAAACAAGCATACCCAAAAATCAGTTCTGCTTTAATTATAATAACGATAACGTAATATTTACAATATTCATAATATTCATAATGAATTTGATATACTTTTTCTTGTAAAAAAAAACAAAAATAAATAAAAAAAAAAATTAGTAAAAACCGGTAAATATTGTCGCTATGGATTTTTTTATTTGCAAATGTTTAAAAAATTAGAGGCTTTCCATGGAAAAAAGGCTTATTACAAATGTTTGAAGCGTATAGTAAAAAACAGAAAACGTGAAGAAAGTCTTCCGTTATTTTGTCTAGCATGAAAGAAAATTAGATAGATATAGTGTAGAAACATTACAATTTATGATAAAATTTAATCCAAGCAACCCGAAAATGCGCGCTCCGGATGATCATGTGACAGTCCGGAATGAATATCCGGAAAAAAATTTTGAAGTTTGATTTAGGACATTCATTAATCATGTACAATACATACAGTAATACGTAATACGTATACATTTATGAAAGATTAAAAACTTATATTGTACATTATTAGTTTTGTTTATTCGCGTCAATGTTTTTTGCATTTTTTTTCTTTTTTTTATGTACTTTCATTATGGCCGGGTCGACATTTTCTTGAGAAATCTTATGCTTTCTTCGTTGTACTGATGCTCGAATTTTTGCTCCATTTCGTAATGATTCAGCCTTTATAGTAGAATTCCGTTGATAGAGATCGGTTTGCCCAATGATAAAGATTCGGCTTTTCGTATTCTTTCTTAAATTTTAATACCAGCAAGTAGTTGTCCATATAAAGTGTCTTTTCTCCGACAAGTAACTTTATTATTTTATTTCCTTTGACAATAAAGGTTTTGGTTAGCCACATAGTGGTCTTTGATATTTCCTGAAATTCGCTTAACCAATTTAAGGCATCTTCTTTACTGTTAAGATCCACATACGGTCAACTCGAAGTGCACGTCCTCTAAGTGCAAGTGCTCTTTAAATGTAATAAAACAATCTTGGCCCAAGTTGAAACTTATAAAGTGCAAGTTCTTTATTCTGTAAATGCAAGATTTTTTTTTAGCCAGTATGTATTAAATTATTTTTTCTAATTGAAAGATATTTTATTAACTAATTAATTGATTTACCGGCATATAATTACAAGTTTTTTTTTCTAAATGCAAGTCATTTTTTTTTAACTTATTAACTTGCATTTAGAAAGTATTAATTATATTAATTTAGTTTTCTTTAATTGCAAATTCTCTCTAAATGCAAGATATTTTTCCGGCCCATTGACTTGCACTTAGAGAGAGTTAACTGTATAAAACTACATTAAGCTGCCCATTATTTACTATAAATATTATTGTGTGAAAAAATTTTTTGGAGTAGTAAATCAGAAAAGTTGAACGAATTGGTTTGTATTTTTGTTATTATTTTGTTTTATTATTATTTATTTATTTATTTATTTATATGAAGTGAAATATGAAATGAAAATGTGAAGCGAAATGCGAAGCGAAATATGAAGCGAAATATGTAGTGAAATATGTAGTGAAATATGAAGCGAAATATGAAGCGAAATATGAAGAGAGATATGAAGAGAAATATGAGACGAAATATGAAGCGAAATATGAAATGAATTAATAAAAAAAAAGAATGGCCTTTAAAATGGTTTTACCAAAAAATCCCGACATCCAAAATCTCGACAGGCCATAATACTGGCATCACGAGACGTGACAAATAAAAATTTAATGTCTGACAATAATTGTTAATGTGATTACTAATCGTTAAATATTAATCGTCACGTAGGGGTTATGGTTTTCGAGATTTTGGATGTCGGGATTTTTTGGTAAAACCCACGTACGTACGTACGTACGTATATACATATTTAAATTAGAACATTGAAATTTTAGCTGACTTAACCGGTTCCAATTCAAGTATCCATTTTGTAACAAACATAGCATGACGATAAGGCGTGCATT